GTGGTGTGGGGGGTAGTGAGGCTGGGGGCGGGTGGGGTAGTGAGGCTGAGGGTGGTGTGGGGGTAGTGAGGGTGTGGGGGGTAGTGAGGTCAGAGAGATCAGATGAGTCCTTCAGGACTGTAGTGGACACTGAATACACTAGCCTAGCTATCAATTTCCCTATCAAATCAGCAGCAGCTACACTGTCCTTCCTCTCACTAAGAATGCAGCTTCACAATGAATGTAAAATGGATGCTGTCCAGGAGGTGGGAGGGTCTGGGAGGGAGGGTCTGCTGCTGATTGGCTGGAATGTGTCTGCTGACTGTGAGGTACAGGGTCAAAGTTTACTCAATGATGACGAATAGGGGGCGGACCGAACAGCACATATGTTTGCCATCCGTGGCGAACGCGAACACGCGATGTTTGCCGGGAACTATTCGCCAGCAAACAGTTCCGGACATCACTATACATAAACATCATTGGTGTGTGCTCTCCAGCTGCCGTAAGCTCTCTAGTCTATCATCATGCTGTTCAATGGGTGTTTCTCTGTGCTAGAGTTAGGGGATCCGCTACGTGTGTCTCGCCCTCCGGTCTTTTAAGGGCCTAGTGGATCTCCCATTGCGGGTATTATTGCATGCTTTATATGCTGCCAGTAGCTGGCAGTGCCCTCTGAGGGAAGGCCGTGACTTGCGCACATTTGGTCACACCTGATCCTTGGTCAGTTTCCAGATATGCCACACCATTCACCCTCTGGGAGACTTATGCTGCACTTAGTAAGAGAAGGATAGAAGTAAGAAAAAGATTGAAAAGTGTCAAAAGAAATTAATGTAGAGGAGGGTTGGGGGGGGGGGGGAAGAGCAGAAGGACCGCATCCAATTGTTTATCTATCTTGTGGGCAGTGGAGCTACTGGGTTTCCCTAACCCAAGGGGCTGTCGTCCCAGGGTGCCCATATTTTCTGGAATTGTTTTTGAGTGTGTTTCTTATGTTCCTCAAACATATTATCTGAAGGACTATTGCAATAATAGTATGTGGACTTATACCAGTACATTGTCAGTAACTAAGATGGCCGACGGAACCATTATGAAGAGGTGGAACTAATTTGACAAACATCTATCAACCCCTCCTATTATAAAGGATGGGAGACTAAGGGGGAATCTTCCCATCACGTCATTACAGAGACATGAGGAGCAACGAAACAGCTATATATGGACGCAGAGCGTAGTGACGTCACTATCAAGGGACAGAATATCAACACCAAACAGCTGTCAAGGACCACTCCCCCTCAAAATAACGCTTGTGATTGGTAGTATCACGAGCGTTATCCACCAATTGACCTGCACTTGGGGTTATTTCATTTTTAAGCAGTGTCAGCATTAAAACCATTTGAGAAAGACGAACTTGATTGTCGAAACGTGTTTTGGACAGTGTACTACCAGGACCTTTTTCTATGTTCTTTATTTGTTTTATTTTATTAATAAAGTGTACCATATATTCTTACATACAGTCTGGTGAATCATCACTGCTGCTGCCAAAAAAGGTTAGAGCCAAGACACGGTCTCTTAACAAGGTGAGAAGCAAACTACACTTTGTTACTGTATTTATCTATTGAGGATTTCAACACTAGGGTTGGCTGTGCTTCCCTGTTTTCTCTTTTTATCTCCCTTTTGAGGATACCGTATACTACAAGTTAATAGGGTGTGTGTCACCTAAGTACACAAAAGTGGATGCGATTTGAGCCGATTCTTAACAGGCTCTTAACCATGTGAGTGCTTCCTAAGAGTAATCTTTTCTGTGCAATATTTAAAGCTATATTACACTATATTTGTTTCATTTATTTTTGTAGCTATATATGATTGTCTTAAGGTGGGGATTTCCTACTATTGTGTGAATGCTGTATTCTACTAGATTGATTTTTTTTTTTTTTTTATTCTTTATTTTTGTTGCACAAAGAATATACAGAATAAGACTGTCTTGCCACGACAGCGGAGCAGACTTTGCAGTTACAGACATGTTATGACAATATCATATCATTGACAGTGTGTGCATACATTTTTTATATTTTTAGAGTTAGCAAGTCATGTTATGCCTATATGTTTAGTTTAAAATGTCGGGTTCCATGTTGCCATGTTAGGGGCACAACTAGACGTATGTACGGTAAGTAAAATGGAAGTAAAGTCTGGATAAAATTACAGTAAAATAATATAATAAGAAGAACTTGGTAAGTCTTGTAGGCTAGTAACTGCCGTAAATGTTTGGCTTCAGATTACGTCTTTGGTAAGAGCGTTAGGCGCCTCGCCAGCTGGGCAAGAAGTAGGTATGTGTTATGTTATACGAGGAAAAGGCAGAAAGTAGCGGCGCTCTTTTGGAGTTGAGGAGCTCATAAGTCATACGTGTCTCTGGGTTATATGAGCCTAAAGAGAAATGTTAAGTGTGCTAGTGGTTCTTTGAGCATAGTCGTGGTGGGGCAGGAGCCTTCTCCTGCGAGATCTAGAGTGAGGTGGTCGTTGGAACATTAATGTGTCTGCTGTGCCTTGAGATGTGGGGGATTCTCTGTTGAGAATTAAGACATGCGGCAGCCCTGTGGACGGGCGCATTTCTGGTGGCCAGTCGCTGGCTCTGCGTTTCTGTGTGGGGAGAGTATAAGAGGGTAGTGCTCAGTGACTCTTGAGCCTGGGGGAGGGGTGGGGATGTAGTCGGTCTGTCTGTCCTTAAGGACTAATGTTGGATCAGCTGCAAGTTATAGAAACAATATAACGTTGGCTAAACATGCTGAAAAAAAACCCTGTAAATTACAAATATTAACTGCATTAATATTGATTGCCAGTCCCTCGGCATACTCCCCTGTGAAAGAGTGAAGGTAAGTCCAGGTCCTCTTGTGGTGTCTCAGCCTGTGTCAGCTTCATTGCGAGGTATGAAGGGGATTATGTTGGGCACGTCCCATGAGTGTCCAGAGGTAAGAGCTTTCTTCTTGAGACCGTTTAGCCCCAGACTGTGAAGGAAAGACTCGGCATCAGCTGCTGACGTGAGTCGGCGGGTGGGCTCGCCCTGGGTGGCCACTAGTGTGTGAGATGGGCCCCATCTGTATTGAACGCTTGCTTCTCGGAGGGTCTTGGTGACCTGGTTGACTGAGCGTCTACACTCCAGCATTGCCCTGCAGAGGTCCTGTAAGAAGGTGAGTTGGCAGTCTTCAAATGGAAATGGGCATTTGTTCCTGACGGCTTCCATTACAGCCTGTTTATCTTGGAGGGACAGGAATCGGAGGAGGACATCGCGGGGTGCGTCCGCCGGTGCCCTGGGAGACTTGGGGAGTTTATTCCGTCCACTTGTACGATCTTTTCCTGCTTGGGAAGCAGAATCTCCGATAAAAGGCGCCGGACAAAGTGGGGTAGCTCCCCGTCATTAACAGTTTCTGTAATGCCTCTGACTTTGATGTTGGTATGTCTTCTAGCGTCATCCATTGCATCCACTCTGGCCTGAAAGGCCTGGTGTGAGCCTTGGAGTTGTCGTATTTGTCCCGTTGCCCCCGTTTGTTGTTGTGCTATGGAGGAGATATCCTCTTCTGTGGCCTTCACTCTGTCTGTTATGGCCGTGACCTCCTCACGAAGCAGCGCTATATCTGTGCGGAACCAGGTATGCAGGTGTTTCAGGAGGCCCAGGATGTCTCCTTTAGTTGCAGGGGCTCCGAGGTCACCTACTTGTATGGTCGAGAATGGGTCATCTGCTTTGGGGATGGCGTCTGGGGAATTCAGTGGATCCTCTTCCGAGGATAGGCCTACGGATTCAGGCGTCGCTACCATTTTGGTTTTAGGCCGCGCCAGAAATATGTCCCCTATTCTTCTTGTGCCCTCGTCTGAGTGGGCTTTTAGTTTTTTGGTTCGTTTTCCCATAGTGTGGTGCAAGTGGGTTGGCGAGGTATTGGTAGGGCACTTATAATTTTGGCCCAGAGCACTGCAGACATGCGACTGCTCTCTGTGGATGTCAGGCTATGCCTCTCGATTGTATGCACTTTGAATATCTTTATGCGCCTTAAAGCACAGAGCACTATATTTGTTTTTTTGAGACATATCCGTAACATTCTTCATCCTGATCTCACAGTAGTATGTGAAGATATCCACTGCTAACATTAAAGCTGTAGGAGACTCCGATGATATTCAAATTGTTTTGCTAGGCAAGCGGACGGGTTTGATAGGACAAGGATCATTAGGTTAGTATTAGGTTGGTTTATTAGGAGCTGGGCGTGCCGGGGTTAAGCACAGGTCAGCGTGTGCTGCTAGTCTAGCGTGACGATCGTGCTTGGAGTCGATGCTCTTATTGCTGGTTTGCGGCATGAGGTAGCAAGCGGTGTAAAAATCGGGGACTATGAATTAAAAGGACATCAAGATTTACCTCAAGCTCTGCTAGAGCATTAACAAGGCTGGCTGCTTGAAAACTATATTGGGCTGCGGCTCCCCTACCCCCATTTGTATGAAATATATTATGTTGTAACCTTATTATGGGCTATAAGTCACCCTCCTGTGATGCCCAGGAGGGTGGATTGGTTTATTTGGTCTAAATATATATTTATGGTAGGGTTAGGCTTAAGGATTGGGGTGGGGTTAGTGGTTGAGGTAGGGGTAGGAGTAGGATTAGGGGTTAGTGGTTGGAGTAGGGTTACTCCTAATCCTACCCCTAACCCTACTCCTAAACCAACCCTATCTCTAGCCCTACTCCTAAAACAACCTTACCCGAAGTCCTGAAGTGCCAGAGTACTGAATTCCGGAATGCCAAACCAAATATTTTTCCCTTGCACATCCCTAGTGTTTTGTGTGTTGTTCTCCTTAAAGGGACACTATAGTTACCTGAACAACTTCAGTTTAATGAGGTTGTTCAGGTGAGTGCTACAGCTCCCTGCAGCTTTTTTCTTGTAAGCACTCTATTTTCTGAGAAAATACAGTGTTTACATTGGAAGCTTGGAACACCTCTAGTTGCAGTCAGATGGCCACCAGAGGGACTTCCGAGTTCAGAAGCCCTAAAAGGACTTCATTCACGTCTGACGTATTCACGCATGGATGAATACTTCAGACATGCTATCAGCACACAAAGCACTGTGAACGCGCTTTGTGTGCTGAGGCTGTCAGCACTGCGTGGGAGTGGCTTGAGCTGACAGGCTGAAGACCGAAGAGGAGGAGGGGAGATTTCAAACTGTAAGTAAACTTATTTAGTGAGTGTGGGTGGGTGACTGAGGGAGAGTGGGTGAGGATGGATGATGGGGATGGATGATGGGAGTGGATGGATATGGTTGATGGGAGTGGATGGATTTGGGTATGGATATGGATGATGGGAGTGGATGAATTTGGGGATGATATGGATGATGGGAGTGAATGGATGGATATGGATGATGGGAGTAGATGGATATGGATGATGGGAGTGGATGGATATGGATGATGGGAATGGATGGATATGGATGATGGGGATGGGTGGATATGGATGATGGGGATGGGTGGATGGTATGGATGGATGATGGGGATGGATGATGGGAATGGATGGATGATGGGGATGGATAGATATGGATGATGGGAATGGATATGGATGATGGGAATGGATAGATATGGATGATGGGAATGCATATGGATGATGGGGATGGGGATGGATGATATGGATGGATGATGGGGATGGATGGATATGGATGGAGAAAGAGTGTAGGTCTAATTTTTTACTACTTGTGTGTTTGCATAGAAACACTATATATAGAGAGATCTATAGAGTGTTTATATGCAAACATAGTTTGGCTGAGGAGGGGGGTGGGTATAGAAAGCAGGCAGAGCTGTGCGCATTCTGCGCACATGCGCGGTTGAGCGCTGAGTTTCTTCATAGGGCGGCATTCAATGCCGCTCTATGAAGAATGAAATTGGTGCGCATTACATTGCGATGATGCTTCTCAAGGAGAAGCGTCCTATTGGGCCCTGCAATTTCGTCATTTTCACGGAAAAGGGGGCGTGACCTAGCGGGGAGCTCTGCGCTGGAACAGAGGTAAGTTTTATTATTAAAACGTACTCTGATTTATTTATTTTTTATGGCAAGTTCATATAAAAGCAAGAAAGAAGGCTGGGGGACCTGTATTTCTAGCTTTTATAGGTTGACTATAGTGATTCTTTAAGTCACTTCCATTAAGGGTAGAAGTTGCTTGTGCATTCTTTACTCCAAAGTGCATAACTTTGCATTTCACTACTTTAAATTTCATCTGCCATTTGAGTGCCCAGTCACCCAGTCTATCTAAATCCCAAATAAACATAGAAAAAATTAGGTCTGCGCTTCCAGTTGCAGTGTGCACCAACATGCTACTAAGCATTTATTTAAAGGACCTAAAAGACAGGCAGCTGTTTCGGGCACAAGCCCTTTTTAAATGCAAATGCAAAAGTTTTGTGTCATCTGCAAACACTGACTTACTTTCAATGTTTTTTTTCAAGATCATTTATAAACATATTAAATAGAAGGGGTCCCAGAACAGAACCCTGAGAGACACCACTTGCCACCTCTGTCCAGCTTTAAAGCTAACTCGCATCCCACTGGATGCCGTGGAAGTCCGCAGACGACCAATAGGAAAAGGAGCGCCAGTTCAAATGGGGATTTCTCTTTCTCCTGATTGAGCGGCCAAAACACCTCTCCTCCCTGAGCGCCTATGGGCCCAAATTGGTTTCATGCCTTTACCCTGATTGGTCATTGCTTGGTTTGGGCGCGAAGTTTGAATTGACTGGCCTAAACCAAGCAATCTTGGGGAACGAATTTCGGGGATGTGCAGAGCCTCGAGCCCAGACTTTGAACAATTATTTCTCGGGCTCTGTACATCCGATAGCCCCGCTATTTGCACGGATCGTAAATGGGACCCGGGACTATCCAGGGATGCATGTATTATATGTGTGACCCATTCCCTTCCCGGGGTGTGGAGTCCCTATATGTTCCCCCATATATGTGATGTGCTTTACTGTATGTACTATTGGTATCTCCCAGAGCGGGATATAATTATCTGCAAACCATCCCTTCTGTTTTTTTCTCCCATTTTCTACCTATGTTTAATTGTATTTTCTTATCCACCTTATTATTCTTAAAGCACCGTAGTATGTTTTTGAAAGAAGATGTCCCCTTTTATAGCGTGCTTTTTCTTTTAACTTTTATTTAGCAATTGCATGTATGCCGGCCAATCTGGCCACACAAGGCCTGTACCCTGTCAATAACTTTTCTCTCTCAGATGATGCTACATTAACCTAATAATTGTATTTGGACCAGGTGACACAGAACTGGTGTCATTTACATTTTTATTGGCCTCAGATTTTCAACAGATTTATTGCTTTGCCATGTTAACAGTCTGGCAAACCGTTGATTTGACTGGTCAAAGCTGAATTTCCAAGGGTCAAACAAAAACAAGCCTCACCAAAACCTAAAGCCTTATGCACCTGGAGTCTACAGTTGTGGTCACAAGAAATACAAAAATAAAGCAAATCTCCTTCAACATTATAGTCCACATTTACAATTCAAAAGAACACATTAAATCCGAGATATATTAATAGTCAGCCTTTTTACAACCCAAGAGGGTGTATTCCCTTAAAGATGAAAACAACTGAAATGGGGAGTTAGTATTATGCCCCATCTTAATTTCATACCCTTAAGTTTAATTTTTTTTTCTTCTTCATGTTTTATCCCCCGTTTCATCAGGAATCTGTCTTCCTCCCGCTGCCCCAGGAAGGGAGGGTGGTGACACATCAACAGTTGTATTATACATGATTTCTTTAGTGAGGATTAGCTGCAGTATGGATCTTCATACAATTCATGTGAAATGGGATTGTTAACTATCTTGTGTGCTGTTTGGTGTATCACTCTGTCCACATAGCTGGACTTATGGAACTATCCCTAAACATGTTTTTCTTCCCTAAGGCAAAGTCCTGGGCTCATAAAAATGTACCAGGCTCATTTAAAATGTAACCACTCGTTCAGTTTACAAATTCTTTCACAGCAAACATATATTCCTAGTCCCAATGTAAAAAGGAAAAAAATTGGGCTCATTAAATTCATTAAAAACAAGCACAGAAATCATATATTCCTGTAACATTTGCATCAGACCCCATTCGGTAAAATGTGCACTGCATGTCATAAATCTTTAGCTCTAAAAATAATAAGAGACAGTGGAAAGCAGAAAGAAATACACATTCACGTAGGAGAAACTGCTCCACTGCTTCCAGGGGACAAAGTATACCAAACTTATAAATCCCCAGGGGGCAAAGTGAACCAAATTTATAAAAAATCTAGACAGACAATAAATCAATATATAGACTCACATAGAGTCTCCTTAACTAACTACTTGTCGAGTTGGGCAGCTGCTCCCGTTCCCAGATCTTGATCAGGGGACAAAGTGTACCAAACTTATAAATCCCCTCTTACTCAGAGACTCTGTGCAGCAGACAGACCTCTCTCGCTCTGCATAAGACAGGTTCAAACAGGAGACTGTGACACCCATGTGAGTAGACAATAGGGATGTGCATGGGCAAAAAATTATGTTCGGTTCAGCACTTCTGAAATTCGGAACTTCGGCAATTCGGGACTTCGGCAATTTGGTTTCTTCAGTTCGGCACTTCCGAAATTCAGGACTTCAGTTTGGTTCAGCACTTCCGAAATTCAGGACTTCAGCACTTCGGCACTTCAGGAATTCAGCAATTCCCTAACCCTTACACTTACCTTAACCCTACCCCTACCCTAACCCTAATTATTATATAGTAAATTTATACTATACACAATGAAAAAATCTGCAAAACATAATTCTCCATTCAGTAAACGACAATGCAGATTCTATTAAAACTGTAAAAACAGGCTATATAATAACCATAGCATTCCATCACCAACATCTCTAACCTTAACC